CCTAAACCCCTCACCACAAGCAGGCCTGCATCTGTGCTGGCCACGCGGGCGATGTGCCGGGCCCCCACTCTTCAGGGTTTAGGGTTTAGGGTTTAGGGTTTAGGGTTTGAAGTTTAGGGTTTCGGGGTTAATTGGGGTTTTAGCTTTTTTGGTCATCGCTTAATCCCTGAAGGGGTGGATCACCCCCTAAACCCTTGAACCCTAAACCCTGACCACCCCCAAAATGGGTATTTCCTTGAATGGGTTTTAAGCTCCAGGGTTTAGAGGTGCCCGGATTATATTTTACCCCAAACCTCAATAAGCCTCGTTATGGGCGGGTTTAGGGTTTAGGGTTGGGATGTTCCCCCTGATACTAGCAGTCCTCAATATGGCTTCTAGTTGGGGCTACTAGAATCCCTATTCAGGACTGTTAGTCTAGGGGGGAACATATCCCAAGCTCAGGGTTTAGGGTCTAGGGTTTAGGGTTTAGGGTTTCGGGTTTAGGGTTTAGGGTTTAGGGCTTCGGGGTTTAGGGTTTAGGGCTTCGGGTTTAGGGTTTAGGGCTTCGGGTTCCCCGTGGACGTGGCAGGTCCGCGCTGTCCTTTGCGAAGCGGCGGCCCCGCAGTGCGGGGCAGCTCAGACAGAGCCAGAGAGCCCCCTTTGTAGCCCTAAACCCTAAACCCTAAACCCTAAACCCCCTAAACCCTAAAGAGATAGTAATCCCTATATTATGAAGCAGGGTTTGTATTTCTGTTATTGGTGAGTGTATATAGGGTTCCTTTTTAACATTGGTGAGTGTATATATTGGGTGTCCTCTTGGGGATACAGGAAATATACACCCGTCTTCATACAATGAAGGAAGATACCCAGAGAGCCCCCTGGTACCGCTTGATGAGGGAAGATGCCCCAAGAGCCGTTTGTACCCCCCTTCATGAAGGAGGATACCCTTAAATCATACTAAGGATCCCTATAGAATTTAAGGTCTTTGCCTTGTCTAAGTTCAGGAAGATACCCTTAGAAACATTATGGTCTATTCCTTATCTACGGGGTCTTGGGGGAGAGTTCACCTGCTGCAAAACGGGGTGCCGAGCTTTCTGACTCCAGTTCTCTCTATTAGGGTCCTTTTTTGGGACCCGAAATGCGAGGCTCCATGTCGTGGAAAACCCGAAACCCCGAACTGCACCCACGCGCGACCCTTCCCAGTTTCAATTTAAAAGCAAAGTCAGTTGGAGGCGCATGGCGAGCGTACAAAGAACCCAGGAACCTACTATAGGGGTCGGAATAATTACTGCCAGTATTCCCTTACGATCCCTTTATCAATATACTAGAATAACCCCCCCCCAAACCCTATTCTCATTATTCAGGCCCCTTATAGTAAACCCCTAAACCCTAAACCCCAAACCCTAAACGGTTTATAGTTTTGTAGTGCGTGGGAAGAGTGGCTTGGCGCCTCTTATGGGCTCGGGCTCTGACTGGGCTTCTTCGGTTTGGGGATGAGGGGGTTGTTTGGGGTTTTTGTTTGGGGGTTACTTAGGGTTTATTTGGGTTTGTTCGGGGTAGATGCAGGGTAGACTTCATTAGGTAATTTGAGGGTTTTGAGGGTTTCTTTAGGGTGTGTTTGGGTTCATTTCTGGGTTTGTTTAGGGTTCAGGGTTCAGCTGGAGCTTGGATCCAGCATGTCCAGCGAACCCCAGATCTATATACCCTGAAGCCGAAGGGGTTTAGGGTTAAGGTTTAGGGTTTAGGGTTTAGGGCTGAGGGCTGAGGGTTCAGGGTTTAGGGCGTCGACGGCCCTGACTGCTCTGCTGATTTGTGCCTGCGTTTGCAATTCGTGGTGGCCATGCAATCTTCAATCCCGTTCGATATGTCATGTCCCGGTTCTTTTCCAGCCCGCAGAATGCGCAATGAGGTTACTTTGTCATAGTTGGGTACCATTTTACATCTTTAAGGGTGCTTAAACCCAATAGGGAATAAAAAATATATTTTCAATATTATGCCAACCATGAACCAGGTTAGGCCATTATTGCGGGGGCGGCTGCGAGAACCTAGAGCTGGTGACAGAGAGCGGGTCAGGATCGTCGGGTGCTACCGAAAGGTTCCCTGCTTCTCGCATTTAGCTGTGCGCGCGGTGGGTGATGTTCAGGGCTCTAAACCCTAAACCCTAAACCCTAAACCCTAAACCCTAAACCCTAAACCCTAAACCCTAAACCCTAAACCCGAAACCCTCAAGCCCGTTTCACTCCCCATAGTTTTCGAAGGTCTAGGGTGCCCGGCAGTGCCCCCATCTCCCGTTTTTTGCGGCCCAGGTCCGTGCGGCCTCGCAGCAGGACCTGGTTTTTAGGTTTCTTAGGCAAATAGGTGGGGCTTTACAGGGTTTGGGGTTTGGGGTCTAGGGTTTAGGGACGGTTTATAGGGTTTACAGGTCTTAGAGGGTTTGCGAGGAGTTTATGGGGTTTGTAGGGTTTATGGGGAGCGCCCCCCTCCCCCCTCCCCAACTCGAAACCCCAAAGGTTGAGGCTTAGGGCTTCGGGCCGTTCGCCACAAGGGTTTACTTGGAGTTACTTGGCTTTTCAACGAACTATTGAAATGAATGTCGTTTAGCTTGCCGAGGGTTCAACTTAGCTGGGTTTAGGGCTTTGAGTTTTGGCTGTCCAGGGCTCAACTCACTTAGGGCTCCGGCTTTGGGGCCTCAACTTATTTAGCTAAGGGTTCAGGGCTTCCGAGCTTGATTTATGTTCTAGGGTTCAGGCCGGGTTGAGGGTTTGGAGCCTCACGGTCTTGGGGGGGTTGAGTCCTTCCTTGGCCCCGGCATTTGAGGAGCAGCTCCCCATGCACTTGGTGAGCGCGAGCACTGGCCTTGGCTCCTTGTGTCTTCATGAAGTTTAGAGCTTTGGGGGGTCTTTTAGGTTCAGGGTTTAGGGTTTAGGGTTTAGAATTAGGGTTTAGGGTTTAGGGTTTAGGTTTTAGGGTTTAGGGTTTAGGGTTTAGGGTTTAGGGTTTAGGGTTTGTTGCAGAGGGGGTGCGCTGATGCTAGCATGCTTTCTTGCCACATTCGGATCCTGGTCGAGGCAGCAACTGCTGTCGACTTCACCTGTGGCAAAGGGCTCTGGCTCCCCGAAGCTTCAACTCCTACCCTCACCCTTCCTAAGCCCGTAGACGTTTACCAAAAACCCCTGAAACAACCCTCAAAAACCCCGAAGGCCAAGACAAGACCGTGAAGGCCCTAAACTTAAAACGTCCGGAAAAACCCTAAATTCCGATTCGACCCTCTAATCCTCAAAAGCCCTATAAAGCCTAAACCCTAACCCTAAACACTGAAAACCCCCCGAAGGACAAAAGCCCTAGAAACCTTGCCCAACAAAAGCCCCCAAAAGCCTTGAGAAGTCCACAAACCCCAACAAAAGCCCCCAAAAGCCTTGAGAAGCCCCCCAAAACCCCAACAAAAGCCTGAAAGCCCTGAAAGGCCCTACCAAGCCCTGAAAAGCTCCAAAAGCCTTGAGAGGCCCCCCAAAACCCCAACAAACGCCCTGAAAGCCCTGAAAGGCCCTAACAGCCCTGAAAAGCCCCCAAAAGCCTTGAGAACCCCCCCCCCCCCAAAACCCCAACAAACGCCCTGAAAGCCTCGAGGCCAAGACAAGACCATGAAGGTCTGGGAGCTGCCCAGTGTTCGGCCCTCGTGGTTTAGGGGTTTAGGGTTTCGGGTTTAGGGTTTGGGGTTTAGGGTTTAGGGTTTAGGGTTTAGGGAGCCGAGCTTCAGGGATCCTTCGCAATTGCTGGTTTTGGGTTTTGGGTTTCGGGTTCGGGTTTTGGGTTTGGGGTTCAGGGTTCAGGGTTTGGGGTTTAGGGTTAGGGGTTTGGGGTTTGTTAAATTCCTTAATTCCCTAAACCCGAAACCTTCAACCCCTAGGAAGACTCAGTGTTGCTGGCGTCCTTTTTGCCCCTAATGTCCAAGCGTCCTAGGGTCTTGGGTTTAAGGGTCTAGAGTTAAACCCTCAACCCTAAGCCTTAAACCCTAAACCCAAAAAACCCTAAACCCTAAACCCTAAACCCTAAACCCCAAACCCTTAGAGGGGCTTTAAGAGTTTCGGGTTCCAGATCAGCCCTAGGTTTGACTCAGCCCTCGGTTTTAAGACCTCAAAAGGGGCTGTAAAGGGTTTTGGATAGGGATGTGGCATGTTGAGGCTTCTAGGGGGTTTAGGGTTTTAGGGTTTAGGGTTATAAGTAACCTAAGTGGGGTTATAAGTATAGTTCTCATACTTATCGCCCTACTTACAACTACCCATGAATCTGCAAGTAAGAACCCTAAGAGCCTCCAAGAACCTCAAGAATGCTTAAAGAACTCAAGAATCCCAAGAGCCTCCCAAAAAACCTTAGCATCCCGTAAGAAGCTGAGAACCCAAGAACCCTAAGACTTGAGATTCCAAAATCCCAAAACCCCGAAACCCCTAAACCCCTAAGGCCTAAACCATCCTAAAGCCTAAACCCTCCTGAACCCTAAACCCCCCTAAACCCTAAACCCCCCTAAACCCTAAACCCTAAACCCTAAACCCTAAACCCTAAACCCTAAACCCTACACCCCCAAACTTCTCAAAGTCTGCGGGCGACCAGGCCAAGAAGCTCGAGCAGGCGGCTCCCAGCTCCCGGGTTGGTAGTTCCTCAGGAAACCCTCATAGGGTTTAGGTTTTGGGTTCAGGGTTTAGGGTTTAGGGCTTTGAGTTTAGGGGGTCGGACTAACTACTCATAGTATTCCCTTCAGGGTGCAGGGTTTAGGGTTTAGGGTCTTGGGAGTTTCTAGGGTTTAGGGTCTAGGGTCTAGTTCCTGTGGAAACCCTCATAGGGTTTAGGATTTCAGGGCTTTAGGGTTAGGGTCTCAGGGTTTTAGGGTTTTAGGGTTTTCGGGTTGGGCGTTTCAGGGTTTTTGGGTTTTTGGGTTTAGGAGTTTGGAGTTTAGTGTTCTAAGGTTTCGGGTCCGTAGCCATTTTGGCTCAAGACATGGAAATTCCATGTGCTAATCTAGATCAATGGCTGCTGCGGACGGTGGCGTTGACGGCCAACCGGCCGACGACAATAGCGTGCTGCCCGAGCACTCGGCAAGTCAAATAGGGGATGAGGCGAAACCCGCCGACGCAATCCAGAAGGCTTTGGACTGCATCAAGGCGGAAAGCTCCATCGCTAAGGCGAAAGTTGAACCGGCTACAAAGACGACTGGATTGACGGTCGAAGCTTTGGCCCAACTCCAACAACAACAGCGTGAATTGGAGAACGAAAGGGCAGGAACTACTACGGTTTTCACAGTTGCCGGCCTTGGAGGCGTCCCGATCGTTGGCAACAACCCTGGAGCGATCCGTGGTGGCTGCCGGAGCAGGTAAAAGCGAAGTTGACTGCTACCAGCTGGGCTTTGAGGCCTCGCTGCACCCATCAACGGTCGTAGAACCGCTATTTGGGGATTTACCTGTTTCTTACTCTCCGGAGAATTTGGCACAACCGCTATCCGCCAGCCTACCGCGAATCCGGAAGTTCATCGAGGCCTTTCCTGGAACGCTAGAAATCAGTATTTTAGATTACGTGATGCGCAAAGGAGCAGGAAATAACTACGCGGCTACCGTCCCCGCTGGAACAGCCACACCCATTTCGAGTGTCCTGGCGAGAAGTCAATCAGCCGAGAACAAACGACGGAGTCGTCGACGAACTTTGGGCAACAGTGCTGTTAGTTGTGGAAGACCAACCAGCTTGGGTTGTGACCTGCAACAGGGTGCATTCCAGTGATGTCACCGTTGCTGAAGGATTGGACGCTGTGCTACAGGCTGCTGCTTCATTGGTACTGCCAACTGATATTCGTGGACTCGCTCTTGCCACGGGATTGTCGAGCGCATTGTATAGTGCGCCAAATGATAGTGCGGCTGCTCTTACAACACTCGCTGGATCATCTCTTGCAGTGGAAGTGATTTTGATCTTGGTTCAAATGGTGCAGATGCTGCGCGCTGCAGCACTACGCAAATTCGTTTCAGATCGGCATCCACAGGCTGTGGTGGCATGGCAATGGCACTTGTTAGTTTTTGACCGGAGTGCGCTTTTCTCCTCGTTACGTGCTGCAGTCAAGTCGATGCCCGCCCATATTCTATCCTCCTCCTGCCTCACCCTTGTCACTCAACTCCGCCACATCCTCCTCGAGCTTGATAAGGCATGGTCCCCTGCCTCCCCCAAACCTTCGTGGCGTCTACACCAGGAGCAGTTCCCCTCTATGTGGGATGTCACTCTTCCCCTTCGCGACAAGCAGCGCTCGTTCTCAAAAATAGCCTTCCTCCGCTCGGGGGTTGTTGGGGTCGACGTTCGTAGTCACCAGTCCTGTTCGTGTCCGGAAATGAGCCTCAGGACGCTGGGTGTTCGGCAGGGCGCCGCCTGCCTCCTCCCGCGGATGTATTCCTTCCCAGTGGGGGCCCGCTGGCCTGGTGCTCGGTTGACTCGCGCATGGTCACTGGTCCCATCCGTGCGCATGTGCGCTCCCTACTCCGCAGGCAGAGCACGGCCGCGTGGAGCCAATGCGCAGTTCAGGGGCTCCTGCCCCGTGTGGCGAAGCATGTTTTCTGCCCGTCCCTTGACCCCTCTCTGTACTTAGACTTGCTGTGCTCCTTCCCCAGCCCTTGGGTTGCTTGGTGTCTGACACCCATCGGACTCGCTCCCTCTGGACCTGTCTGCGATGGTCTACCGGCTCCATCGGGCCACAGCGGGTTCTTGGACTGAGCGGCTCCATTCCGACGCTACGTACTCTGCCCACTCCCAGGCTCTGTCCACTTTGTGCCACTGCACCAGGTACACCGCGGCATGTGGTTATGTCCTGTCCGGCCATGGCCCCCCTGGTAGACCGTCTCCGGGACGCAGGTGAAGCTGAGTTCGCGAGTGTCGTTCCACCTCCCCAACTGCTAGCCGTGGCTGATGCCTGGCGTGACTCCGGTGCACCTCCTCCTCCCCTGCCTGCCCAAGCGCTACAGCGGTGGCCCATCCTTTCTGGCTGGCGCTGGCTCGTGTCCATCCCGGCCAGGGAAGCGGTCCTGTCTGCGGATGTTAATGGGAGCAGTGCAGCCTCTGCCGCCCGGGAAGTTGGTTCTGACTTAGCCTACCGTTGCACCCTACCGCGTTCTCCATTTGCAAACTATCTTCCCAGGAGCTGGCGGACTTGGAGGAACAAGACATGGAATCCTACTCGACTCTTTTCGGCAACATGCGCAACTCCAGTCAGAGCTCTCCCGCTTGTCCGCCCACCGCAAGCGGGTTTTGCCGGCCATATTGCTCAGCCAGCGTTTAGCCCTGGGACTCCGGTTCATCCGGGCTGAATACTTGCAGCGTGTAGATGTGTGGACCCGGCTGGCCTTGGCCTCACTCCCCCCCTGCTCATGAGCAGCCCCCCCGAACCCGTCACTGTGTGGCTCTCCTCCGCTGAGGCCTTGCCCTTCGCCCGTACCACTTTTGCTTGTGGTCGCAGCCGCAACTCCACATTAGTGGGAGCCTTGCACCGTGCTGGTGTGCCTCTCCTGCTGATGGCCAGCCCAGCTGGGGTCCAGCGCTCCCACCGTGGGGTTCCGTCACTTCGGCTCTGGCCCACCGTTGCTCCTGCCCACTTGTGCCACAAGTCCTTCTAGTGGGTCTGTGTTGGGAGTGTAGAGGTTTGATTCTGCCCCCTGCCCCTGCCCTGCCCAAGCCTTGCCCATGGTGCCGCAAGGTCACGGGCATTGTGTGCCCCTCTTGCCATACGCAGATCCATTTCCGTGGCGAGTGTCGGTGGAACCACGGTGCGCGCCCGGCGTACCTGGCCAATGGTGCGGACCTGTTGCAACTGTGTCCAGACTGCCTCCTCACTGTGCGACTCTGTCCAGGCGCTCCCGGCACAACAGCCTCCCCTTCCAGCAAGGTCTGCTTTGTCGCAACACATGTATGCGTCTGCGCAAGCCTGCCTGCCTGGGGCAGGCGCTGATTCTGCAGGTCTTGTCCGTCTTCCCCTGCGGCGTGTCCGGCGTTGGCTTCTCCGCCACCTTGGCTTGGTGGGTTCGGCCTCGCTAGACCAGCTCTTGTGTGCGCTGGAGGACTGGGCCCCTGCTACCGCAGCTGACTGGCGACGGACAGTCCTCCACCGTGCCTGTCCTAAAAAAGAGCCTCTGCATTCAGTTCTTCTCTCTTCCCTTCCCCTTCCCCCCCCCTCCCCTCCCCCCTCCTTCCCCCCCTCCCTCCCCCTCCCCCTTCCCTTCCCCCCGCCCCCCCTCTTCCCCCCCCCTCCTTCCTTCCCTCGCCCCCTCCCCCCTCCTGTCTGTGCGTTCCGCAACCCCCCCTTCTTGGCTCGGCTCGATACGGGGGTTGGTTCGGTGGGTTCTTGGTGTCCTGTGCTCGTGTCTGCACTATGACTAAACCCCCTCTTGAACTCTCCGCGGAGGGCGGCGATGACGCCTGCGGAGCCGCCCCGAGATGTGGGGGGGGAAGAGTGCGGGCGGCTGCAGCAATAATAACGCTGCTAGCCATTCTCCCTCCCTCCCTCCCCTCCCCTAAGGTTTCGGGTAAACCTGTAGCTTTTGGGGTTCAGGTTTTCGTCCACTCAAAACACTCTGTCTGAACTGTTGTTCGGGGCTTGGGGTTCTGGTGTGTGGGTTCCTCAAGAATCCTGTACGGGGCCGTAAGCTCTAAAGCCCCTCAGCACTGAACCCTAAATCCTAAACCCTAAACCCTAAACCCTAAACCCTAAACCCTAAACCCTAAACCCTAAACCCCAAACCCTAAACCCTAAACCCTAAACCCTAAACCCTGAATCCTAAGGACCTCCGCTGATTCTTGGGAGGTTCTCAGGGTGCCTGTACCCTAGCTTGATCACGAAGCCCTCTCAACCCTAAACTCCAAACCCCAAGCCCTGAACCCCGAACAGCAGAGCCGGGTTTAGGGTTTAGGGTGTAGGGTTTAGGGTTGAGGGTTCCCCCAAAGCAAGCGACTCTGCAGCGGAGGCCCTCGGCCAGGGGCTGAAGGTGAAGAAGTCAAAGCTCACGGCAGCGGCCTCGCAACATTGGGGCCAGGAAAGAGTTGGGCTTTGAAGCCGGCTTAGGGTTTAGGGTTTAGGGTTTAGCCCTCCGACGCCACGTTGCGCCGCAGTTTACATGGTCTTGCTGCACTGGCAAGCGCACATGATTCGTGCTGTTCGGCCCGAAATTCCCAATATATACCTCCGAAGCGGTTGCGTGCTGCACACTCCCAGCCATGCCTCGAATGGGGTGGGGGGGTGGGGTGGGGGGAGGGGCTTAAGAACGTCATGTTCTGATCCGTGGTGTTGGACCCGTAATACCCACTACCTCAGCCATGCCTCGCCTTCGGTCCTCGCACTTTGTTCGACCACGCACTGCTCTGAAGCGACCTGGCGCTTGTCGTGTTCGTCCTGCGGCTGCACCTCAGTACCGAACAGAAGGCCGAGAAGTCAACCGTGAGCACATCCGTCGGAAGCTTCCTCTCAAACTGAGACCGGATGCGTCCGCTGGAAAGCCGACGAGGCCCGAGCGAGCAAGCAAGGCGGATGGTGGTGACTTGTGGACTGACAAGAAATGTGAGCTCTGGCTGGCGGAGCACTCCTTTTTTCCACATGTGGTGCGACGTTGCTGCTGGAAGTGTGGCAGTGTGTGCGGATGGTGGTCCCTCCTTTAGTCCCGTGGATCGCCACACAGTTTCCTCAAAAGCCTCTGTCCGTACGATGAAGCTACAAACCCGAGGGTGTACTGTAGGGGTGACCCCCCCCCCTAACAACAACAAACAACAGGTTTTCCTTCTCGTGTATTTTTTTGTAAGGGGGGGGGGGAGGGTTTAAGGTTTAAGGGTTTAGGGTTTAGGCTTTAGGGTTTAGGGTTTGCGGTTTCGGCTCTTGGCTTTGGGGTTTTTCCGGTTTGGGGTTTTCGGGTTTTCGGCCCTCCTTCCTCAGCCTGAACCCGCATATTCCCTTCGGACGGTTACGTGGAAGGGTCTCATCTGAGACGCGTTTTTTCAAAAAACAACGTCCTGGAAAATGTACACTTCTTAAGCTCAGTAAAGGGATTTCGTGTGGAAATTCTCGGTATTTTTGTTACTTTCCCTTCTGGCCCTGACATACAGGCGCGGCGGGACGCGGCGGCGTAGCGTTTAGGGTTTAGGGTTTAGGGTTTAGTTTAGGGTATGCAGTAAGCCCTCCATGTTCTCGAGTTAAGTCGGCACCAAGTTTGTGCTTGGGATTGCAGCTCGTGCGGGGCGTCGATGCGGTGTTTTTCTCCACATCGATGGCATTCGATGGTTGTGTGTTCTAGTAATGGAGGGTGCGCCGCTCGCAGTATCTCGCAGTCCGTGTTCTGTAAATATTCAAGTTCTTTGCGATTCTGCGTCCTCCGGAGCCATTTTTGCCTTTCCAGCGTGTGCTGAACCTTTCCCCCAACACACATCTCCTTTGCCTGTCCTTGCCTTGGCATCATGGGTGGCGGCGCTTCCAAGACATCCTCCGGCGCCATGGCCGCGCCATCGCCCGCGGGCCCTCCCGCCAAGGGGCTCACGCCCCAGAAGAAGGCTGCGAGCCCCAGCGTGGCCATCGTCTACTACTCCACTTATGGCCACATCAAGGCGCTCGCCGATGAGATCAAGGCAGGTCTGGAAGCGGCGGGCGTGAACGTGGACCTCTTTCAGGTCCCCGAAACACTTCCTGCGGAGGTGCTGAAGGCGATGTCGGCCCCTGAGAAGCCGGATGACGTCATGCTGCTTGACTACGACTTCCTCAAGGAGCTGCCAAACTACGACGGCTTCATGTTCGGAATGCCCACACGTTTCGGCATGATGGCCGGGCAGATGAAGACCTTCTTCGACAGCACCGGGCAGCTGTGGGCATCTGGGGCTTTGGCCGGCAAGCTGGCTGCCACCTTCGTGAGCACCGGCACGCAGCAGGGCGGACAGGAGACCACCCACTTCACTGCCGTCACGCAGCTGGTGCATCACGGCATGGCCTACGTGCCCTTGGGGTATCAGGCCGGAGGCGAAGGCCAGTTCGACCTCAGCGAGATTCATGGGGGCTCTCCGTGGGGAGCCAGCACCCTGGCTGGGGCAGATGGTAGCCGCCAGCCCAGCGCCAAGGAGCTGGCGATTGCCAAGAAGCAGGGCCAAGTCTTTGGAGCCACGGTGGCCCAGTCGACCTCGACGCCCGCTGAGCGCGAGCTGAAGGTCTGCATCGTGTACTACAGCCTCTACGGGCACGTGAAGAAGCTCGCCGACGAGATTGCTGCGTCCATGCGCGAGGAGGGAGTCACAGTGGACCTCTTCCAGGCTCCCGAGCTCCTGGGCCCGGAGGTCCTCGAGAAGATGGGGGCGCCCCCGAAACCCGAGGACCCTGTGATGGACTACGCGGCCGTGTCGAAGCTCGCGGAGTACGACGGGATCATGTTCGGGCTGCCGACGCGCTTCGGCAGCGCGTCCGCGCAGATGAAGTCCTTCTTCGACAGCACGGGGGCCCTGTGGCAGTCGGGCGCGCTGGCCGGGAAGCTGGCTGCCAGCTTCGTGAGCACTGGCACCCTGAACGGTGGGCAGGAGTCGACGCACATGACCACCCTGACGAACATGGTCCACCATGGCATGATTTACGTGCCTCTGGGCTATCAGGCCGGAGGGGATGGTCAATTCGACATGACTGAGATCCACGGTGGCTCACCCTGGGGTGCAAGCACCTACGCCGGAGCGGATGGAAGCCGCCAGCCCAGTGCAATGGAGATGAGCATCGCCAAGAGGCAGGGCAAGGTCTTTGCGGCCAAGGTCAAGCAGATGAGCAAGTGAACTTTGGGGAGTTCGGTCACTTTCCTGGATTGGACTGCATGAGGGTTCCTGGACAAATGATGGGCCCAAATTGCCGAAGGCAACTTCACTTCGAGCTCGCTAGGTGTTTGGAGGCCGCTGGACAAATTATGGGCCTCGCACCAGCGAATGAGATGCTCTCGAGGGACGAAGAAAAACGGCGGCTTCCCTAAGCGTTGCAGATAAGACACTTGTGGGTCTCCTATGCACACTTTTGAACCCCAGACCCCAAGCCCCAATCCCCACACCCCAATCTTCCCCTAAACCCCAAACCCTAAACCTGAACCCTAAACCCTAAACCCTAAAACCCTAAACCCCCTCCCCAAGTCTCTTCTCCAAGGTCATTGCGCACTCGAAAGAAGTCAATGATGCTCTGGCCTCGGCAGCTCGTGAACTGCAAGAGTTGAGGCTCTGGGTTCAGGCTCTCAGGGTTGAGGGTTCAAGGTTCGTGTGTTTAGGCTATTAAAAAAGAGGCTCAACCCTAAACCCTAAACCCTAAATCCTACACCCTACACCCTACACCCTACACCCGAAACCCTAAACCCTAAACCCTAAACCCTAAACCCTAAACCCTAAACCCTAAACCCTAAACCCCTCTGTGGGGTTTTTGGATGTTTCTTAGACCTATGTGTTCCCCGAGGCTCCTTGGGGCTCGGGCTCTGTGGTTTAGGGTTTTTGGAAGGAAGGGTTTAGGGTTTAGGGTATCGGGTTTAGGATTTCGGGTTTAGGGTTTAACGGTTTAGGGTTTAGGGTTTAGGGCCAGGGTTCAGGGTTTAGGGTTTAGGGTGGAGTTTAGGGCCAGGGTTTAGGTTTTAGGGTTTTCGGGGTCGACGTGTTGAGGTCTTGGTTTCACCGAACAACAAGCTCATTGCCACGGGCGGCCAGGACCTGCTGTCACACCCCTGAAGGCCCTGAAGGCCCTTAGAGCCCCGAACCCAAAAGCTTAAAAGCTCAAGCCCTAAACTCTAAACCCTAAACCGTCAACCCTCAACCCTAAACCCTAAACCCTAAACCCCAAAAAGCCCAAAACCCTAAGCACGGGGCATCGAAACACAACAAGCCATGAACCTCAGTCAACGGACCCCCCAAGCGCCAAGCCCTCGTCAAGCCTCGCCCTTGAGGCCCGGAACCTCGATGTTCAAAAAGATGTGGAGGGTTTAGGGTTTAGGGTTTAGGGTTTAGGGTTTAGGGCCAAAGCTGAACATATTCACAAGACCCTAAGCGCCCTAAGCCCTTCGGGCGAAGCATGTGGCGCCCGTGGGTAGGGTTTCGGGCCTCGGGCGTGCGGCTTAAGGTCCCGGGTTGAAAGGGCTGAACTCTAAACCCAAAACCCAAATATGGGGGTTTAACGATATTGGGCGTACCTCATTAGGGCCCTTATTAAATTATAAGGGAATCCTACCATGTGGGGTCTATTTGTAGGGGTAATTTCTAAAGACTCTGCAGCCCTGACAGGACAAGTTGGTCCGCATCTGGAAATTTCCCGAGGGCGACTTGTTGGGAGAGTGCCTGGTTCCCAGAATCCACTCTTGCTAGAGTAGTTTAGTTGCAATGGTTGAGGGTTTAACCTAAACCTCTACAGGGTTCAGGGTTTGGGGAATCTGTTTAGGGACCACCCGAAACCCGAATCCCCAAGCCCTAAGCCGGAAACCCTAAACCCGAAACCCGAAACCCTAAACCCTAAACCCTAAACCCTACACCCTAAACCCTACACCCTAAGTCCGCCCCTCAGCCGTCCTCAGGCAAAGGACACCGGCGAGGTGTCTGGTGCGTGGCCTTCTCCCCCATCGACCAGGTGGTGGCGTCTGCTTCCGGCTTCGACCCAAGAAGCTGTGGGGGGAGGTTGAAGGTAGGTTCTAGGGTTTACGGTTTAGGGTTTAGGTTTATATAGGGTTTAAGGTTTAGGGTTTAGGTTTAGGGTTTAGGGTCTAGGGTTTAGGGTTTAGGGTTTAGGGTTCAGGTTAGGGTTCGCGTTTGCTTGAAGGTTCATGGGTAGCTAGAAGTGGGGTTATAAGTAAGGTAACGTATGCTACAACCTTAATGAAGGTACATAGAACTCTACGCATGTCTACCCACGAACCCTTCAAAGTACATCTGCCGTCGCTGGAGACCTCGCGGGTTGTCGGATGTTTAGGGTTTAGGGTTTGGGGTTTGGGGTTTAGGGTTTTGGGGTTTAGGGTTTAGGGTTTAACATAAACGACTAAAGTAATAATGATCTAGTAATGCCCGAGAACAGAAAAGAAAGCCACACAACCCAGCACAAATCAAACAAGTCAAACACATGAAGCAGTACCAAAAACACCAAAACAACACTGAGTGTATCCAAACTTGTTTATCTCGCAGAAAGGAGCAATAGGAATAGGAAGAGCAAACAACCAGAGCGCGAGCAAAACAACGATAGCAAGTTGTGAACATGCGCCCCACGGTCTCCGGCTTCCTACTAGTTATGGAGTTCTCTTGTATGGAGTCCTCTTGAGCCACAGCATCCCCCAACTAGAGCACACACCTTACTCCCACACCCTGCATCTGTAACATTGCCGTCAGAGCCTTGGGGGCTGATCTTCGTTAGGGCGCTTTACAGAGACCTTGTAAAAAAAAGGAGCCCTGTTACTGGAGACATAGAGCTTGCAGGCTCCAGCTTGTTAACACAGGGTTTGGGGTTCAGGTCTGCAGGGTTTGTAGGGATTAGGGTTTGGTGGGGTTTGTTAGGGCTTGATGGGGCTGGACAGGGTGTGTAGTCTAAGAGGAGTTGCATGGTCCCTTAACAGGGTCCCTTACCTCTAAAGGGTTCTGAAGTCGGAATGATTGCTAAACATATTCCTTCGGGTCCCTGTAATACTACATGATAATATTCTCATTATTCAGGCCCCAAACCCTAAACCCTAAACCCTAAACCCTAAACCCTAAACCCTAAACCCTAAACCCTAAACCCTAAACCCTAAACCCTAAACCCTAAACCCTAAACCCTAAACCCTAAACCCTAAACCCTAAACCCTAAACCCTAAACCCTAAACCCTAAACCCTAAACCCTAAACAACCCTAAACCCTAAACCCTGAACCCTGAACCCTAAACCCTAAACCCTAACCCCTAAACCCCAAAAAACTCTCCCTTTAGGGGGTCTAAGGGTTTTGCTGCCCCTGGATGCCCAGGCGACGCCACCGTCCGCCTGTGGAACCTGAAGGATTTCAGGCAGCCCTTCGGGTTTCCGCTAAACACAATGTAGTGTCATATGGTGTGTATATGTACATGTAGATCTATATCTCTATATATACATATGCATATATTACTTCGAAAGATAAGATATAAGTATAAGAGCATATACTGACATACTAATACTACAATAAGGCTATAGTAAACATTATGTGTAGGGAATGGAAATATGACGAGCGGGCCGGCTAAACCCCCACGTCGGCTGCACCGATAGTGAACCTATGCCTCGGTTGCGGGGTGCGAAAATCACCTCATGTTGTTATGATATGGTTTGTTACTTTATGAATATCTTATGGTTGTATTGTTAATCCATTACGGATACCATTAGGAGAATTTGTTATTACTTGTATACTGTAATGGATACATTGTTGCTAGATGTTGATGTTTTTTGTTTTCATGTTCTTATGTTAAGACGGTCGCGAGTCTTAAGACAAGCAGTTTGCAGTTTCGAGCGCCTTCTGGTCAGTGCAGCATTTTGCCGAGTTTGACGTGTCCTGGTCCTACGCGCGCCCCACCTTTCGCAGTGCAGCGACTATGCCGCCCAAGAAGCGCCCCGCTGCAGCTTCGGCAAGCCGGAATGTCGAAGAGCCGCCTAAGAAGCGGCCCGCTGTGGCAAGCCAGGAAGTCGAAGAGCTCCTTCGAAAAAATGCCAAGCTCGAGAAGGAGAATGCCAAGCTGCGAGGGGAGACTCCGAATAAGAAGGCGCCCGTGGCGCCCGACGGCGAGGCGTAGCCAGGCATAGAAGATTTTTAGAGTTGCGGTTCTGTGCCGGTTGGCTCAGGTAGGCAGATGAAGTTTACAGTAGAGTAGCCTCGAGTCTCTCTCTCTGTCTCGCTCACACAGGCTGCTGATAGCTGCACTGTTTCCTTTGCATTCTTTCATCCCAGGTATGTGACAGGCGCAGTGGCTGGCGGCCGTGAGTGCCGGATCCTCTACGACATGGATGGTTTCGAGAAGAATACTGCATACGAGCTCATGCGGACACTGCAAGAGTCTCTCCGCGATGGCCGTCCGATCGAGTTGACACTTAAAGGAGGAAAGACGCTGGGCTCTTGCTGGGCACGCTTCAATTTGCACGGAGGGTCCTTGTACCTATACTGCTTGCATGATCGAACTACATCTGTGGTAGTAGTCGTCGTAGTAGCAGTAGCAGTAGCAGTAGCAGTAGCAGTAGCAGTAGCAGTAGCAGTAGCAGTAGCAGTAGTAGCAGTAGCAGTAGCAGTAGCAGTAGCAGTAGCAGTAGCAGTAGCAGTAGTGGTAGTGGTAGTCGTAGCAGTAGTAGCAGTAGTAGTAGTAGTAGTAGTAGTAGTAGTAGTAGGTAGTAGTAGTAGTAGTAGTAGTAGTAGTAGTAGTAGTAGTAGTAGTAGTAGTAGTAGTAGTAGTAGTAGTAGTAGTAGTAGTAGTAGTAGTAGTAGTAGTAGTAGTAGTAGTAGTAGTAGTAGTAGTAGTAGTAGTAGTAGTAGTAGTAGTAGTAGTAGTAGTAGTAGTAGTAGTAGTAGTAGTAGTAGTAGGAGTAGTAGTAGTAGTAGTAGTAGTAGTAGTAGTAGTAGTAGTAGTAGTAGTAGTAGTAGTAGTAGTAGTAGTAGTAGTAGTAGTAGTAGTAGTAGTAGTAGTAGTAGTAGTAGTAGTAGTAGTAGTAGTAGTAGTAGTACGAGTACGAGTACCAGTACGAGTACCAGTACTAGTAGTAGTACTAGTTCTAGTACTAGTGGTAGTGGTAGTAGCAGTAGTAGTCGTCGTAGTAGTCGTAGTAGTCGTGGTAGTCGTAGTAGTCGTAGTAGTCGTAGTAGTCGTAGTACTCGTAGTAGTCGTAGTACTCGTAGTCGTAGTCGTAGTAGTGGCAGTAATAGCAGTAAAGTGCTAACCACTGTATAGATGTGTTTGGTTAGGCTTTTCGCTTTTTCCAACCATGCCAACCAACCAGCGAGCAGCACCTTGCATGTGGACTTGTGACCCGAGGAAAGTGGACCTCAAGAAGACCTTTCGCCAGAATGGGATTGAGCCAAATAGCTTCGTGTATGTAACATACACAGGCCCTGCTCCGTGGGAATGACGTCTCACGTTCTTGATCGATGGTTTTAATTGTGGTGTGCCATGAGCACTGTACAGCGAAATGCCGATGCCCCAGGAACGCCCGCCTTGAACTAGTCATACGCCAGAGATTCGGCCAGCTGCGGGATGTGGGGCATCCGCACATGATCCTGTGAGTTGGAAGAGTCAGGAAACCTCTGTAATCCCTAAACCACAAGCCCTGAAACCCTAAACCCTCAACCTAAACCCTGAAACCCATAAGCGCAAAACCCGAAACCCTGAACCCCAAAACCCTAAACCCTAAACCCTGAAACCCATAAGCCCTAGACCAAGGAGGGACAGACACCGACCTCCCAGAGGGCCGTACAGCCCGAGCACAGGTTGCAAGGGCTTCCCGGGCCAGTGTTGGGTATAGGTTTAGGGTTTAAGGTTTAGGGTTTAGGGTTCAGGGTTCAGGGTTTAGGGTTTAGGGTTTAGGGTTGGGGTTTAGGCTTTAGGCTTTAGGGTTTAGGGGTTAGGGCTTAGGGTTTAAGGCGCAGGGTTAGGGTTTGGGCCAGGAACGTTTTTCCAAAGTAAAGAAATATGGCCGGGCGAATAAAGAAAAAGATGCTGTCGCGGCAGGTCACCCTTAGCCCTACACCCTAAACCTCCCTAAGCCTTGTAACCCAACAAGCAAACCCTAAAAAGGTAGCCCAATGCCGATCGGAAAGCCTTAACGCATAGCCCTTATGAAGCTATATTCCAAAGGAAGCAAAATATACGGTCTATTGCAGTGAGAAGCGGTCTTTTGGCCCCTGAATGTAGAGAAACTGCGTGACTGCCCCTTCTGCAGGGCCATCCGCTCCTTCCAGGGTCACAGCAGCGCGGTTCTGCGCGTGGCCTTCCTGGCGAATGGCATGCAGCTGATGAGCAGCAGCGTGGATGGGCTGCTGAAGCTCTGGCACATCAGGCGAGGGGCCGTCGGTAAAAGAAATTTCCCCTCCCCCACATGCTGAGCCACCCTGCGACAGGGGCCTGAATGGTTTTAGGGGGGGAGATTGCGTATTTGGGGGGAGCAGATCATGGGAGCAGGGCGCCCCCCCTCTTGTCGAAGTGGAATGCAGGACCGCAGAGTGCGCAGCAACGTTTGAAGAGCATACTAGCAAAGTCTGGTGCATCTTGGTAACCCAGTGGTATCCTTTACCCTTTCTTTGGTTCTGGGTTCCCTTCTAAAGTAACCAACCCTAAACCTAGACCCTAAGCCCTAAACCCTAGACCCTAAACCCTAAACCCTTAACCCTTAGCCCTTAAACCCTTAAACCCTAAACCCTAAACCCTGATTATAAGAAGTTTACGTGGCCACCACCAAGGCATTGATATCGTGGGAGATCGTATGGTGTCTGGCGGCGCCGATTCGAAGATCTGCCCCTTTGCCTGCAACGAGCCAAATATCTCTCAAACAAGGCCCAGTAATCATCTTATGATTAGGGTTTTGGGGTTTAGGGTTTAGGGCTAGGCTTCCTTAACACGATTTAAGGGATGTTTCTTAGTTAAGGGGTATTCGGCTCTCTGGGTGCCTGCAACCAGCTCAGCGGAATGATTCGGTAGGGTTGAAGGCTTAGGGTTGAGGGATTCGGGTTTCGGATTTCGGGTTTCGGGTTTAGGGTTTTAGGGTGTGGGGTTTGGAGGCTTAAGGTTTAGGGTTTAGGGTTTAGGGTTTTGATTAGGGTTTAGGGGTTTAAGGCTTAAGGTTTAGGGCTTCAGGGTATCAGAACTCAGGCGTTTGGCGCGATTCGACCCTCGAGGTTGAAAAGCAGCGAGCCGCCGGCATGTCTTGTGCTTCTGGGAGACCTTAAAACACCCTAAACCCTAAACCTTAAAGCCTAAACCCTAAACCCGAAACCCTAAACCCGAAAGCCGAAACCCTAAGCGCATGGAATTAAGCCCGATGGCAGCATGTACCAAAGGAGGAGCTCCTCAGATCTTCAACCCTAAATTTATTCAATTGCTGCAGGGTCTAGGGTTTAGGGTATTTTGGGTTTCTATTATGACTGGATAGGGGATGTTTTCAGGGGTTTAGGGTTCAGGGTTTAGGGTATTTTGGGTTCTATTAAGACCGGACAGGGGATGTTTTGGGGGGATGATGTTGGTAATCCATTAGTCTCCTGCATTGCCCATGAGGGCTTCAGGAGGACGTGCTGTGTGTTTGCCGCAGGATGGCAGCAGGGGTTGGGGATCGGGAATGATGGGGTCTAGGGTTTTCGGTTTAGGGTTTAGGGTTTCGGGTTTAGGTTTTTACAGCTCCCTCTGTTTAAGGGATGAGTGACCATTGAAATAGTAGTGACCACTGTGATATCATTTGGTTGGCAATTCGCTCAGCCCATCCTGCAGTTTAGTAAGTTAGCAAAACCTGTTTATCCAGCTTGGGCGCTGGGTCCTAAATGGGCAGAACGCGTCATGTTCGGCCTGGATGGGATTAACCTCAGCGGATGGTTCGGCCATCGCCCTCGGGTCGAGACGGAGGAGATCTTCTTGGAGGCAGGGTCATTCGTGCACGCATGATGCAAGTCAGACCTGCGTTTGTGCATTTTGTTTTATTGTGAGCCTGCTTGAGCGGCTGGACTCGTCGGCTCTTTTGTCTCAGAACACCCAAGCTCAAGCCAGCTTGTCCACACTCTGATTGCAATGGCGCCTCGTGAGGGAGAACCAGATGTCCACTTCGAGAAGGCACCTTTAATCATGAACTTGTTCTTGGACATCGCGCGGAGCTGCCAGAAGTGCTCTGTGTGGACACCCATTCAAGTCATCCGGAGTGCTTGGCTAACATTTGTCCTCCTTGCAGTCAAAGTGTATGTGCCGTATGCTCTCTACTTGCAGACGACAGTGCCAATACCGGAAGAGGACGTGGGGACGTTGATCATTGGGTTCGCTGGCTGGACAATGGTTATGTTTCAAGCGGAGGAGGACATGCTTCGCGACATATGGTGGATCTGCACTCTGTGGAATTCCCGTGGCAAGGAGAGGCAAGCATTTCACGACATCAGCACCTCATGGCGGGATTGGCTGGGGGTCATCTTGTCGTTGATCTATGATGCAGGGTCAAGCCTTGCCTTTGGTTTTTGCACCTGGTCCATCATGCGGTCCAGCCCCACAATCTTGGATAAGGCCAAGGATTGCGCAGCATTGACGGCGGTCCTTTACGTCGACGAAGCAATCTATGAGCATCACAAGTTCGATGTTCCGGGTGCTCGACTTCTGTGGGTTACCCCTTACCACCAATACAGCTTTGACCAAGCTGACAAAATCGTGGGAAAGGCAGACCGCATTGTGATGTGGGCCCACTATGTCATCAGCTGCGCCATTTTTGGTTGTGGTGCCGCCTACATCGTCGAGGGACTTATGTCAGATGCCTCTATGTGAAAGGCAGGACGTCTGCCACATTTGCCGGCTTGTTGTGATCTGCAGTGCCCCTCCCAACCTTTTCAATTGAGGCTTGTACGGGGCAAATGCTGAACTTGTGTTTGTCGTGTTTCTTTAATGAACACGCTTGCTGTTTGGAGATCGAATTACATCTTCACCAGATATGACACTCTTGACTCGCGCAAAAGTCTGAGCAACATGAAAAATTCCGGTGCTGCAACTGCTTTTGACACCAAGACATCAAGTTCTAACCCCGCTTCCTTAGCACTTTTTGCACAAGGCATCGCTGAACCTACTGCGCTGCCTTGCGTTCAACTACCTCTACACCGACAAGTGCCTTGGGTGGTTTGTGGGATTCCTTGGTTCTTCATCTTCTCCTTCTTCTTCAATGCGCACTCAACCACTCAAAACACACGTCTGCTAACACACACATGATTCGCTAATACCCTTACGAAACAAACACACATATGAAGCAGCGTAGTAGAACGCGTTGAAAAATACAAGCAAGAACAGAGAACAACAAGCAACACATATATACACACACACAACAAATCAAATTGGACAACCTAGGGGTAGGAATCTTTGCGTCGTGGAATGAAAGAACAACAGTAGTTTCATAAAAGTATTCGTAATAGTCAAGAAGAATAAGGGTAGTCATAGCACTCTTGTGTTCTTGTCTGCCTCCAATGTAGTATTCACAAATCTTCTTCTTCATTGCTGGATGTTGGTTCAGTATGGGAGTTTATGTAATAAAAGAAAATTTCGTTTAATATCCGATCTATTCTTGAACATTTTGCCGTGTTCTGTCACTGCTTTGCTCCGTAATTTGGTTGAGTGGCCATTCCATTAAAGATTGTAAAGCTTCTTTGTTTTTTTGGTACTTTAAACTTTTGTAGGTTGGGTCAAAGTTTACATGACGACAAATGAGCACGTTTTTTGTTTGCACGCTCTGTGTGTTTTGTTGCCTTGTACACATGTTTGTCTTCTACTGCGTCAGCAGTGTTTCAATTTTTTCAGGTTATAATCGTACACATTGATGACTTTTATTTCCTCCAGTGTAGTACATGTCACTAGTTTTAATGTTTTTTTTTTTACATGTCATTTTCGCTGTTTTGGCTGCTTAAGTCTCTGTTCACAATTAGCAAGTTCAAGGTTTTTCGTCAGATAAAAAAAGCATGTATTCAACATTTTTAGCACTGGTATTAAGATAAAGAACAAGGCGCACCATTCAGAGGTTGTTGATACATGTCATATAGGGACGTTTTCACTTACACGTGTTGAGTTCTCTTAATTTAATTTGTACTGGTTGTTACATGTCCCGGTTTGGGTGGGCTAATTGTCCTGTGCGGCTCTCGCTCGTTCTGGCTTGCCACAGACACTGGCTGGAGAGCCATGGCGGCCTCGGCCCTTTTCTTGGTGCCACTGCCTGTGGCGGGTTGCCAAGGTCAGCGGGTTGCGCAAGAATTGCAAGAAAACACTCCATTCTCGACGGCGCTGCGAATGGTCGGCGAGGCTCCTCTGGTTTTGGGTTGTGGACTTCTCCCCAGCCTGAAGCGGCAGCACTTCGAGCCAACCTCCAGGGGTGCCGTTCAACCTCACAAGGATTCGCATTCCCAAGCGTGGAGAAGATGGACCAAGCTGAGATGAGGATCTCTGGATTGTGGCGCAAACCATGTTGGCAGTGGGTTCTGGACTTCGTAGGCTGCGCCAGCGGATTGCCGGATGTTTGTCGAAGTCCTTACTTCCCTAAGTCCTAAACCCGAAAAGAACGAACCCATGATACAGGAGCCTTACCAATTTATACCCCTCTCCTTAGTTGAGTGATACAATATAACCTAAACTGCTCAAAATTCCCATTGTAGATAGGCCCCTCCAGTAGGCCCCTTGTGCGAGTTGGAGTCGCGGACGCAGGCCAGGACGAGAAAGCAGATCTCGCGATCAAGGACGGAAAGGGTTTAGGGTCCAGGTCTAAAGGGTTTAGGGTTTAGGGTTTAGGGTCCAGGGTTTAGGGTTTCGGGTTTAGGGTTTGAGTTTAGGGTTTAGGGTTTAGGGTTTAGGGTTTAGGGTTTAGGGTTTAGGGTTTAGGGTTTAGGATTTAGGGTCTCCTGACATTCAGGTTTAAGCTTGCCATCTCCAGGACTCGCGCATCGGCCTGCTGGTCAGAGAAGGAAAGGCAGGCTAAACCCTAAACCCTAAACCCTAAACCCTAAACCCTAAACCCTAAACCCTAAACCCTAAACCCTAAACCCTAAACCCTAAACCCTAAACCCTAAACCCTAAACCCTAAACCCTAAACCCCACCCTAAACCCTAAACCCTAAACCTAAACCCTAACCCTAACCCTAAACCCTAAACCCTAAAACCCTAAAACCCTAAACCCTAAACCCTAACCCTAAAAACCCTAAACCCTAAATAAACCCTAAACTAACCCTAAAACCCTAAACCCTAAACCCTAAACCCTAAACCCTAAACCCTAAACCCTAAACCCTAAACCCTAAAAACCCTAAACCCTAAACCCTAAACCCTAAACCCTAAACCCTAAACCCTAAACCTTAAACCCTAAACCCTAAACCCTAGACCCGAGACCCTAGACCCTAGACCCTAAACCCTAAACCCTAAACTCTAAACCCCCAACCCTAAACCCCCAAATGTAAGCCACATGTTTGCAAAGGTCTTGGGAAATCTTGGTCTTAGCAGGGCTGCCGGGCACAGGTAGCCAGCAACTGTTCCATTCCTCCGGTGCATGTACCGAAGCTTAAGCAAAGTCCTTAAACCCAGCTACCCCAAGCCCTAGAACTCAAAACCCTAAACCTC